AATGGCCATCTCCAACTCGGTCTTCACCATAGGTTGTGGATGTGGTTCTTGGAATGATGGTGGAGATGCTTGGTTACCATGGAGGTACGGTTGATAGGCGTAGAGAGGTGGTTGCTCTCCGTACCCAGATCCTTGGCTAGAACCACTACTAGAAGCTTCAAGATAACATCAATTCGTCCTTTGGCGATCTTTCCACTTCTCGTACCAACCATATGGATCCATTATTCAAAAAGTACAAACAACAAAAACACTAAAAGGACAATCAAACACACACAAACCACCCCTCGAGGAGAAAGGTGAGTGAAACACAAAACACAAGAAAAGGCACCAAAGAGTTTATGTTACTCAAACACAAAACACGAAAAAACAATGCCAAACTTGGCACAAAACAAACAAACACAACGAACGATTAAACTAGTAGTTCTCGGCTTTCCTAATAACATAAGACTCCTTGGCAACGACGCCAAAAAGTTGATTGCTTACGTGATCGAGCTTTAAATTTATAAGTCGATGTGCACTGTCTATCCAATCCTAACTAAGCCAAGCATAGCTAGGGTTGTAGTAAAGTGGCTCGGTCGTATTCCAGGGGAACCCTAAGCCTAATATTTCGCTTCGAACTGCTATTTAATCGAATCGAAAGTTTGGGTGGAGGATCTAATCTAATCTACTCTTAAACCCATGTTAGTCAGCTCGATCTAGGCTATCGTATCTAGGGCTCTAAGAACATAGCTGATTTCAATGGGTACTACCCACCGTCCACACCGAGTTTTCATCCCGGGTTCTATCTAGGAAGGCATTCCTATGACAGGGGTACGATCGCCTCGTCCACCATGAGATCCTATTCATTCATGTAGCCCTATATCTAGCCCTAATTTGCTTGATGGCGCATACCCGTCTAGCTCTAAAACCCCATACCCAGCGTAGAAGCTCAAGAATGCTAGTAGAGAATATTACGGCGACTTACCCAAACACAATCAAATCTAGAGAAACAGTAAAATCGACTAGATAAACACATTCATACACAACCTATAAACTAGTGTTCATCTTCCCTAAACAACCATTAGAGAATCAAGTCATTAGAGAGAGAAAGAAAACACAAACTAGAAGAAAGGGGATGATGGTATCAATCTTATTATCCTTGCTTGCACCTTCTCCTTGCTCCTTGGCTGGATTGGATCTTCAATTAAGCTCTCCCAAGGTGTTTCCCTCTCTAAAAACAACCCAAAACTCTAACTTTCTCACTCTAGGGCGGCTCACCCTTGAAAAGTGCAGCTAGAGGGGTATTTATAGAAAGCTGATGGCGGTCAAGGCCTCCAGGGCGTGACGCGGCCTTGACCAGCTGGAACGTCCTCGAATCGACCAAAATGACGGGTTTTGACTCCATCTTTAAGGTCTGAGATCATGGCCTCCTTCATAAGATCGCTGTCGTGATCTTTGTGTCCCAGGCGCGATCTTTTTCACGGTCAAAATGCACCATGTCTGCGATTCAGCTTGGGAAACTTTATGCCTTCATTTTGGTCGCCTGCTGGAGTTCGCGGCTATTGTTCACGACTGCGATTTTCAGCCCGCGAACATGGTCACGTCATGACGTGTAGCCGCGACCAGTGCCTCTTCTCCCCTTCTTGCTCCTATGCTTCCCAATCGTGTTCGGGTGAACTCCAGTCGATTTGCGATCAATCCCAAATGCATAGAAGACCTGGAATTTCATCACAAACACTTGGGAAATCATAAAATATGACAAATTGGGGTCGATTCCCCTATAAAAACCTTCATATCAAGAATACCTATGCTCAAATGGATGTTTTGCAAATAGGAACGAAAATAGGTATAAATAACTTAATATATGGTATAGACACAGTGATTTAACATGCAAATACCATGTAAATATGGGCTAAATAATGCTTATTTTAGGTGTTATCATGAAGATTGATTTTCTTTTCATCTTGATTATAAAATAATCTTGTGTAGATGGGCATGGCAAAGGAGATAAATAAGGCAAAGACTAAAAATAAGCCTTTCAATGATGTTCATTGTTGGAACGTCCTATCTATCATGGTGCCTTAAATAGCATCCCGACCCTGAACTCAACACGGCACAAATTTGACCTAGCTAAAACGAGCTAATTTGTCAAAAAAATAGCTAAGACGAACTTTTTTGTCATAGATAGGACAAATCATAGATATTGCAAGACGCTAGATAACCAGGCGTGACAGTCGACAACTAGTCGAACTATCGATGAAAGAGCCATAGTAACCACTAAATGGCAACTTTGTTACAAACTTAGGAATAAAAGGACACAACCTAAAAGTCTAATAAAATACAGGCAATAACAAATAAACAAACTCCCACAAACACAAAAAGGATTGTGCAAAAACAAAACAATTATCCAGGAGCAGATTGAGGATCAGATCCCATAAATGTCCAAACGCACTAACAATAAATTTATTGAAAAGGAAATAGGTCACCGTTCCAAAGTCGGGTGACTAGTCTCGACCTGCAAAACAGAACAAAACAAACAAATCTAGAGCCCTTCCTAGGCCCAATAATCAGTAAAATGTTTTTAAATAATAGTTTTTTGTTTAGAATATGTGTATTTTAGACCTGGAAAATTACAACCCGGCCAGTTGACCCGACCCGAAACCGCCTGAAAAGTAGAAATTTTTATAACCCGAAATTCGAATGACCCGAACCCGATAACCTGTGATTTTTTTGGTCGGGTTGGGTGGGTTAGTGGGTCGACCCGTTCCATTTTATATATAACTCCCAAAATGATAAATTCACTGATAAATTGATGAGATGTTAAAAAAAACACACAAGGATTTAAATGACATATTTGGAGTTTAAGGATAATCAAATACCATGTGTTTCTTGTAGTAGTATTACTCTTGTGATTGTTTTTTGACGATTTGCGCAATTTGTATTTCATTTCATTAGCATTGGAGGATTTGAGAATCTGTTAATTGACATGTGTTAGGTAAACTATTGTCATGCATATGCGAAAATTTGTGTTCCTTGAGAAAATATGAAGCATGTTTGATATTGTTTCTAAGAGCGCTCATAATCCGAAACGACATGTAACCTTACCCGAAACCGAATGGGTAGGGTCATATGACTTTCCCACTAACTCTCTCGTAAGTACTTTCTTTGTTATTTGATATTTGAATTTTCATATTTGAATTAATTTAATTTGAGTTTAGCAATAAATTTAATCTATGTTTATCTTTTAAATGGAGGATAATTTTAAAATTGTAACCCAAATATCATTTATTCGAATATTGCATATTGAATTGCACTATTGAATGTGTACATGTGATGTAGAATTCTTAACTTGGTATTAATTTTTAGAACTATTAAAGCAACGATATTCTTATGCAAATTGTAAGTCACCAGTTTTTAGAAAGTTTTAGTTTGGTTTATTGTTTAATCCTAAATCTCTCGATAATATGGCATACCAATTTTTCTAAATGATTTTAATTATTTAAAAAAATTTACCTTTTAAGGTAATTGACCATATGTATCTTTCATAGTTACTTAGTTTAATATGAAATAACCGCATTAGAACACAAATCATGAAAGTAGGGTTGGAGTTTTCATAGATGCATTGATGTGGTCATGTGCATTAGCAAGGTAGGTACCACGAGATAGGTTAAATTTTTTGTTGAGTGATTAATATTGTACTTCAACTAAATTTAGAGTATGTTAGTTGATAAATAATTTTTTTCATTGTATAGAGTATGGATGGAAAATGTTATTTTCTTATTAATTTTGTTACTGTATTGTGCAGAATACTTTAAGGTTTAGATATTGCTATATATATGTAGTGTTTCTCAAGCGAAAGAAAGAAATAAATATTGACTAGAGGTTATGATAATAAGCTTCCTATTTATGCTACGCTTTTTCAGACCAACTATTTTTTTGTTATGTCAATTTTCTTTTCAACGATAAGCAGCTAAGTAACTACATCATTAAATAGACAAATTATGAATGATTATTCATGAGTCTTATAACCTAGGTTGGTACACCTCTACCGGGAGACTGGCTGGACTAGGTTTGACCAAAGTCATGCTCCAAAATGTGCTCTACAAGACCAAGGGTTTGATCGGTAGAGATGGAGAAGAAGATAGAGGGAAGGGGGAGGGGAGAGAGGCAATGTGATGGTGGGTGGATCTTGAGAAATGTATGTATTTTTTTATAAAATTTGAGTTTTAATAGATATAAGTTGGACCTCAATCTTATATGTAAATATATTTAGAAAATGTGTAAAACCGCTCAAACAAGTTGGACTTCAATCAAACCATTAAATTTTAAATTACTTGCTTGACCGCCTCAACGCCTTAAACCAGTTTAACGGCTTCAAAACGGCCTCCAGAAATCCCCTGATTTGACCCCTAAAGAGGGAGAAGAAGAGAGGGGGAAGAGAGAAAAAGAAACGAAGGAAGGGAGATGGTTAGTGGGTCATGGAGGTTAGGTAGATTTAAACTGTAGAAAATAAGTTTTAATACATACATATAAGATAATTTCATTTTAGTTATCAAATCTTTAATTACTATCTTATTTGTATATGTATTTAGAAAAGGGCTAATACCACTAGGAAACCCGAACTATTAACTTTGTGTCATTTGCGTCCTAAAGTATCTGATATGACATTTGTGTCCTAAACTATTTTTTCCGTTAGAGTTTACTGGCATTGACCATTAGTTTTTAACAGAAAGTCTAGTCAGCGCTTATGTGGCATTTGACGTGGAATTTATAATTATTTTCTATATAAGAAAAAATAAAAAATAAATTTGGGGATTTTTTTGGGACACAAGTTGGATTACCCACCCCTTCCAAATCAGTTCAGCCCCGCAAATCCCCTACCATAAACCCTTCCTTCCTCGACGTCCCTAGCCACCGCGCTCCCTTTTTCCTCCGTCGCCACAACAACAACAACAATGGACCAGCTGGACCTCGAGCCCAACGAGGCCACGGTGGTGCTCTCTGAGTTCGTGCGCGGTCCAATGATCGGAAATCCCCAAAGGCTGGAAGCGATGATGAAGCTGATCCGCACGCTCCGCCCGCGCGTGATGGTGGTGATCGAGACAGAGGCGAACCACAACGCGCCCGATTTTGGCCACCGGTTTGTCGAGATGCTGTTCACCGTCGGCGGGTATTTTGACTACCTAGCAACTTGTATGGAAAGGAAAGAGGAGGCGAGGGCGGCGGTGGAGTCGTGGTATTTGAACGATCGGATTTGAAACGTTTTGGGGGCGGAAGGGGAAGAGAGGGTGATTCGGGATGTGAATATTAGGGTTTGGAGGAAGTACTTTGCGCGATTTGGGATGCTGGAGATTCCGGTGAGAGGGTTGGCTTTGTAGCATGCTAATTTGGTGATTCGCCAGTCGTCGTACGCGGATTCGTGCTTGGATGCTTTGGATTACAAGAGCTTGAATATTGGGTGGAAGGATTGGGGGGTTTGCAATTGGGATTCAATGGATGGGTTATTGCGATGGGATTCGTGATTCAGGGGATGGATTTTTGCTATGTGGGTGTGCAATCGACGAAGAATCGCTCTGTTTCCATGGAGATAGACAGGGCTCTTTCTCACTCTCCCTTCAACCCTCGCGCAATCCGTATTTACCAAGGTGATGGGAAGAAGTGCAGCCGCTGCCAACTCGTCTTGCCCTCACCGACTAGCCGTAGCCACTTCGTCTTTCCATTACGACCAGCCGTCGCCGCTTCGTCTTTCCATCGCAACCAGAGCGACTCCCCTACCTGGCAGAATAGTCATCGGATCCGGAGGTCGTCGGGGAGAGGAGCGGCTTGGGGGGGAGTTGAGGTTGCAGACGAGGAAGAAGCCAGTGAGAGTGGCGGAGAGGAAGACAAGAATGACGCGGAGAGGGAACATTTCCCTTGCTTGTCGGCGAAATGTGATTAGAAGAAGAAGAGGAAAGCTTATGAGGGTTTCTTTTTTATTTATTATACAATATTTTGTTTTTTGTTTTTTGTTTAATTTTTAATTAAAAATATGAGGTGTCATTGACGTGGCATCTACATGGCTGCCATGTCAAAAAAAGTCAATGTTAATGTTGACTTCTGTTTGGTCAACCGTTATCTATAACGGCCAACGAAATCGTCAGGACATAAATGACACACAACTATCATACGTTGTGATACAAATGTCATATCGGATACTTTAGGACACAAATGGCACAAAGTTAATAGTTCGGGTTTCCTAATGGTATTATCCCTTTAGAAAAATGTCTACAATGGCTCAAACCGATCGGACCCCAATCAAACCATTAAACCTCAAACTCCTAGCTTGACCGGCTCAATAATTTAAATCGGTTTGACAACCTCGGGTCCGACCGTTACACACTCTAATTGGAGGGAATTAAATGAGATTCTATCTTTGACCTCACGAAAGATTAACAAGTTATATAAAAATAACAAGCGTGAGCCCCGCCCAGTTGGCCGGAGGAAGGTGAGGTATGAAATTTGAGAATGTAATGGGGGTATATAGCTTATTGTTGTATATTTTTTTTTTTTTTTTGGAAACACGTGATAAAGATAGTGAATTTTAGTAGGAAAGAGACATGGATGATTCAAAGAATCAAAAATCAGCCTCACGAACCAAAATCAAGTACCTGTTACCTTGTGAAACAATATTATTTCTGGTAATATGATGAGGTGGAGTAAGTTTTATAGAAACTGAATTCCAGAAAACCTTATAAAAAATCGCTTATCCCGTCGGTCTTTGGGAAATGAGCACCTCACAATGATTGCTAGCTTTTACTCGGCCCATTTGCCGATTAATTTGAATTATAAAACTTTCATCTTGTCGTTGTACTTTCTGGTTTTTGCCAGACCATGATAAAATCTAAAGAAATCAAGAACGTGATACATCCCACTACTTTGAAACTTGGAAAAGACATTTGTATCCCAGGGTATATTTAAAAATCTCAAATAACACAACTTTAAATAAAAAACCAATCTCAAACATCTTAATATCTCAAAGCGAAGCCCTAAACACGTGGGCAAAACTTAAATCGTACTCTTAAAAGAAACGGAGAAATGAATCTCCAGTCTTAAACTCATAACCAAAAAGTCTTAATAACTTAAGGAGTTCTCCGATGCTTATTCTAACGCCTGGCTCGACATCCCTCAGTGACGATGGTGTTGAGCTCCTCTAGCTTGCTGGTCACGGACTGACTGGTTATGATCTCCTCCTCTATGATCTGGTCAGTGAGTGGGGTCAGTCTACGAACTTACGTTAAAAATCTATAGCACTTTAGTATTCTTCTTTCAATACTTAACTCCGACTAGCGGAAGTTGATTATACTTTCTTTCTTAAAACCTTAACTTAAATCTTTTGAATGACACGGGAATCCCTCACTAGCTAGTTCGGTTGCCCAACTCATAACTGTTGCTCGTCTTATAATATCTCAAGAGCATAACTACTGCTCATCTTAAAAGTCTCAAGAGCATACTAGCTCTATCTCCAAATCTCAACGAAAAACGGACTGACGTTAGTAACTAAAAACTCTTAAAACGATTTCACCTTCTTGAGGGTGAAGAACTTCTTAAAAAGAACTTGTTTATTAAAGTTTAATAATAAATCCTAAATGTAAAGCTTTAAAGTAAATAATTACTCATACATCTTCACTTCAAACATAGCTTAAACAAAGCACATAACATCAACCATAAGCATAATCAAACAACGACAGTCACTTCATCAAAATGCTTAAAGCTCGTAATACTTGAAAGAAGATGTAAGGCGTAGAATTTAACCCCTTTACACTCACCTCTCAAATGTCGATACTTTAATTCATTGGATGTGGAATCCCTAACTTGATCGTTTCCTTATCCTTAGTACTATAAATAGATATTGATTACCCTTAGTCGGTACTCCGTAAAATTTTCCTTCCTCCTAGTTTAGTCCCAAAATTTCTTTATAAAGAGCCTCGAACTTCTTGAAATAATTTTCTCAAATACTGGGATTTTCTCCAAAAATTTTCAATACTTGAATTACTACTATCAAATCAAAACTCCTATAAATAAATCTCATAAATTTTCCAAAAATATTTTACTTCTTAAAAACTCCAAATTCTGAATTAGAATAACTCTAAACATAAACCAAAATTATCGACAATAATTTATACCTTAATTAATCCATTTTCCTATTTAATTTTTTCAAAAAATATATTTCCAACGTATTAATTTTAGTTTCTAAATTTTATAACGTACTAACATTACTATGGATTTGTAAGAAATTAACAAATTAATGAAAGACGCACGAACATTAATTTAATTAATTAAAACCAACATCTTTATCAATTTTTAAAATTTTCAAATCAACCCTAAAATTCATAAATAATTCTCAGATAATCATGCTAGTATCTAATTTCTATAAAAATTATCCAATATACTAAAATCACTTTAAAAGTAATTTATTTACTTAAAATTGCCTTTCTAACTATTTTCAAAATTATAAAAACAACTCCAAAAAATCTCATTAATACCCAGACATATTTTGATTTTATACTATTTAAAAAATTACCACAAAATGAAAATACATACTTGAAAGCAACTAAAATAATAATAATATTGATAAAATGCTATTTTTGGTCGTTTGTCAGTTTTCAAAACAGTATGGACTAAGCTACTCGAACCGATAATATGGGGGACTAATCTGGATATTTTCTCGCAGACTGAAACATATTTACCGTCGCAGTACTCATATTTTTCGAATTTACGGTATTAGCACCTGAATTATCAAATTTGCGCCCCAACATCTCGAAACTCGTATCTCCCTCGTCTGACATCGAAATTTGATTCCGTTGAGACCGGGATGCTCCTGAGATCGTCCTCCATGCAATGATGCCAAGGTTTTTAAGCTTTGTTGAGATTGACTACGTCGGGGATGTCGTCGACGCTATGTTCACCACATGGTTCGTCGGGTTAATCGGGGATTAAACGAGCTCAAGAAGGATTGAGATCGAGGTTCTTAACTATCGGGCCTTCGAGAAGGAATGGATGGGTGCGTTCGTCGAGCGACCGTAAATCGTTCAAAGCTTGGCTTCACTCGGAGCTTGTGTGGAAGGGACCGCCTCTGGTGTTGTCGTTTGGTTTTCGCCTGGATGCGCATGGAGATGGAAACGGACACTGCTCGCTTGTCTTGCTGGGAAGGGTTGGGAGGGAGGTCTGTTGTCGTTTGGGTTTTTTATTTTTTTGGTTCTTTCTTGCTTTTCAATTAAAGGGATGTTGCTCGGGTTTTATTTGGGATGATGTAACGAGTTGCAAAGTTAAAAGGGAAGGGGGAATTAAGTCCCTCTTTTGTTTCCGTTAGGGAAGAGAGAGACGGACAATTGATGGTGATGACTATTATTTATGATATTCCCAAACCTCCATCTTCGTCTTCATCGGTTCTCTCATCTGATGCTAGGTTTGAGATTGGGGTTGGTCTATCTCTTTGCTTGTTCATTTGATCTCTACGGGTATTCGCACCGTGAAATCTATCACTCCTAAGTGTTGTCTTGGTGACTCACTCCTACTGTCACTCTAGAAAATGGCCAAGTGTAACCACTTCCTAAAGCGTAGTATAGCGGGTTTGGGTTTTATTGTCAACCCGGGTCCTAGATGTGATGACTACTCGGTGAATTCTCGTTATCTAGCAGTGAACTTTTAGTGCAAATTCAAGCAACAAAAACACAAAGCAAGTAAACGGTTGTTCAAGTCAAGAGAGGTCACCCGGATATGGTTCCCCCTAGACTGCAGTTAAGTCGGATTGCAATTTACCAAGTTCAGTTTTCATGAAAGTTATACTGCGGAAGGTTCTTAATTAGCCTGAAGTCTCGACTAAAGGTCTCCAGACCCTCTCAATCTGAGTCTCTAGCGGGCGACTAACCTCCACCGGAGTAAACAGATTGAGGCCCTAACGAACCAAACCTCCACTACCGAATTGAATTCGGTACAGAATAGCGAATTGGCTCCTCGACTAAAGTCACCAATTCGCCACCTTCGATTAAGGATACTCTATCAACCTAGGCAGATATTCTCATTCTAGGTCAAAGCAGAAACAACAGGAATTTGATCAGGATTCAAGTCATTCAATCATTCACACCTCAATCGAATATAATCAATTCACAAACTCTGTACTTGGGTTCATACAATCAGACCTAGCATACAAATCTAGGGTTCCCCATACCCAGATGAATGGGGGAACTACTCCATAGAGGAAGAAGCAAAAGCATATTCA